ACATAGGTGTCGAAAATGCACTAGTGCTTCTCCTTATGATCCCTCTGTTTTAGACCAGAGATCTACCGTCTGGTCTTGGAAGTAACTGAAGCTCAACAGAGGTATGTTCTCCCTTTCTGGTTTTGGACCAAACGTGAATCCAGGTGCAGGTCCATTCCTCAATTCCATGGTAGCTATTGGCTGGCGTAGCTGGCTGGTAGGTGCTTTCTTGCTGTACCGAATATTTTGTAACAAGGAGAGCGCTGATAAAGTTGGACAGATAATAGGGTTATTGGGTGATCTAATGGTTAGCAATTACTTTAAGCTTCGTCTTTACCATGTACGCGAGAAGGGGCCTTCGTGACAAGTTCAGGCTCACCCCTTTGTACACACAGAAAAGCACGGTTTATCAGCCCAACTTAACACCCTTTTCTACCCGATAAAAGGTCTCTGAATGCTAAAACCTATATTTTCAACATCACAACTAAGGTTTATTTTGTGAATCTCTGACCAAAGTAGAGCATTTGAAAAAAATCAGGTCATCAAATCGGTGCAGTCCATCTAGACAACCAACGCAAGGCATACCGCAACGCTGAATTATGCACTGCTTTAAAAAAACCAGCTGTAAATACTAGTGGACATTGTAATGCTTTGTGTATGTGGCAACATGATATTTGGTGGCCACTGTAGAATTTGTTTAACCCCTGTTAATGTGGTCTTGCTTTCAGGCCATGCTTAAGCTCCATTTACCCTGTCGTCTTCGGAATATATGTATTCAACCTCAGTTATGTCTTTGACTGCCCTATGAAGAGCCTTGGAACGCTACAGGCCTTGCGCACATTTTTTTTATTATATTTGGAAGTCTATACCATTAGAATTATTGTTATTGTTTTATAATATTGAAAAACTTAACAAGCAAACAAAAATTAACAAAAATATATTTTATTTTTTAAGCATGCTTTGTTGTTTTTGGCATTTTTTGTCAGGTATCTAAAACTTTTAGTGGGTCGAACTTAGCGTCTTGTCGACCGCGCATTCTTAAAATGGA